ACCCATTATTCACCCGATACGTAGGATACATAGTATACTGCGAATACAGCGTATACTGCGAATACAGCGTATACTGCCGGGAAACCCATTTAAGGTAAGTGATCGGCATAGCCGTTTATTCGCTACTGCGCCACACCGATCACCTGCTTAAACGAGCTTCCGGCATTACCATCCTACTGTTCACAACATACATGTGTACTAGTGTTGCAGACATAAAGTTTTAACATTACTGTGTTTTGGGTTTTGTTGCATAATAAAACGGATATTAATGTTGTACGTGAAATTCGAATGGGCATAAATTTGAAATTGAGTTGTGTCAGACCGAAATTTTATTTTGAGTTGCATCAGATCAAAATTATCTTATTATGCGTCAAACAAAGATCGATAATTTAAATTTTATACGGTGAGAAATAAATTCACTAACCTATAATTCTATACTATATTATTGTACACACTTTCATTATGACATTTGCTTCTACATTCAAATCCAATTTTTTTTGCAACGACATTTATTAGTATCATAATTACTTTTACGATTGCACATACTTTTGTAAGAATACTTTGATTATGTGCAGTTTCTTTAACAAATATATGGGCTAGGTGTTGTGAAAAAGGCCAAAAATGACAATTTTTTTTAATGAGTTTTTTTTTTTTTACATAAATCAATTTAAAATAAAATTAGAATCATTTTTCACTTAATATATGAAAGTAGTTGTATTAATATAATTTCGCAGTATAGCTCTTTAAAGTTTACATTTTCTTATAATTTATATAAGATTCATAATATAAAAATTGATTTTCCGAAGACCTTTTTTTTGGCTCTTTTTCCAGCAGCTAGCCCATATAATCTGTTGAAATATGCTCTACTGATTCTGAACATTCTATTGCACAATAATAAAATGGTTTATTATAGTTCAACTTATCTAAAATATTGCGTGAGCATATAGGTCAATTTGTACCAATCGCTGATTTCGTATTCTGATTTGTACTAGCTGTATAGGTCTCTACAATTCTTAATTTGTGATCATTGTTTTTGCGATAGTTGTAAGGTATATAAAAAATGTTGTAAAGAAGAATTAATCTAAATAAAGAATTAAATATATAGAACGATGAATACCAAAATTTTGCGCAATACTCTATAATGTTTAGTTCGATGCCAAATACAAGAAATTTAAGTAATCCAATTTTTGGTAATACTGTAATTTATAATATTATTATGACATTTATTATGTGTACTTCAGTATGATAAAACTTGTCTGATTCAAATTTTAATTTTACACAACTCAATTTTAAACCTACACTTATTCTAATCGAGGTACAACATTAATATAAATTGTATAAAACTAGTTAAGAGTCAACTACGCAAATAATATATACATATTAAATTAAACTTTTTTATTATCAAATTCGATATATATTAAATTAAATTACATCAACTTTACGAAATATATTAAACTTAGTTATTATCAAATTACGTAAGACGCTAACCTCCGAACAAATAATTTAATAACTCTTATTCATTTAATATCAAATAATATTGATAATTTAATTGCTGTTAGCAGCTATTCAGTTTTGATTAATAAAAAATCCAATTCTGGCGGTCAACCTCGAGGAGAAATATGGAATGCTTATACTATTGAACAAAAAAATGAAAATTAGTATTTTATTCGATGCGACTTTTGCTCTAAGTGTTGGAAAAAAGGAATGCCAATCGTAATGAAAAATGTCGGAATCGTAATGGAATCCTATTTAGCTAATGAGTGTCCCAACTGTCCACAAGATGTACAAAATACAGTATTGGCAGAATAAAATTGAAAATCGACATAATAATGATGTCTTAGGAAATGAGACTAGCAATAATTTAAAAAATATTATACAATGAAATGCTAAACAGTTATTAGTTTATTTTTTATCACAAGCATACGTAAAAGTTTTATCAGCAGTTTTATCAGTTTATGTTTTGATAGTTTTTACAGTTTAATCGAAAGCGTTAAAAATATAAACAGTAATTTATATTTTTATCAACCTTTATATGGAGCATTGTCGGTATCACTTGCGCTAGTGTGCATCTCATATCATACAGATATTCAGCAAAGTAGCAGTACAGATTTGGATGGCGTACTAAATTTTGATTGTACATATAGATTTTAAAAGTTTCAATTTTTTGTGAATAATCTTTTTTAATGATTAGGGTTGGGGTTAGAATGAGCGCCAGTATTGTTCTTTTTTAATGTTAGAGTTAGTAGAAAAAGTAACTTGGACTATGGGTAAAGATGGGACACTGCGCATAGGGTTGAAAATTACATTTTACAATATTACATTTCACGTAAATTTGCATAAATTTCAGTAACATAGATTACATGTAAATTTCATTTCACGTGATATAAAGTACCAGCATTATGAAAACTTAACCAGCATTATCGAATTATCTAAATATAAAATTTAATGTATTTATATAGTTTATAACAATTTTATTCAGAGTAATTATTACATTGACACTCATTATTATCAAATAAAAGAATCCCATCAGAAAAATTAATCCAATTATTCTCTTCGAGCATTTCATTTTCAATATCCTTCAGGTTATTGTTTATTTGATTGTTTAGATTAATGTTAGAAATTTCTTCATCTGTCATGTTGCTTTCTTGTAAAACTTTTATTAATGCAGATTTTTTCAATTGATATAAAATTCTTGTATTCCAGTATATGTAAATAAATTTTTTTGCTTTTAAGACAAATACTCAATTATGTAATTTTGAGTGTATAAATCTATAAGCAGACTAATTTCTCTCACTAGTTGCTGAAGTTGCCAGAATTAATAAGACTTTTCATGTGATTTGACTTAAATGTAGATATTGCATACTTAGTAAATTCCATTAGTTAAGCAGTTTTGAGGTAAAATTATTCCAAAGATATTTTTTGCAAAACCTCCTGACTTTTCAATATATTCAGATAATTTATTCAATAATTCATTTTTATTATCAGTACCTGCAATTTGAATTATTTCAGTATTAACTATATTTTATCATATAGTAAAATCAAAACCTTCATCTTGATATCTTGGATCAAGATTGTATATAACAATAATTGCCAGATTATATAAGAAATTTACCTATCAACTTCTAGTTATGTACAAAGTATCATTACATAGTTCTTCTAGAATTTCTAAATTATTCATTACTATATTTTTTAAGTCTTATAAAGTTTTATATACAGAAGAAAGATATGACTCGTCACTTTCTAATTTATATATAAAAATAATAAATGATTCTAAAAAATTACATAATCTTTTAAGATCCATCTAAAATTTATAATCTAAAATTATTACTTTAATATTATCATTTATTTTAACACTGTTTTCAACTAATATAGCATATATTACAAATCAAACTTATAACACATGATTAAGATACTCAAAAGATGATGTCCATCTAGTATCAATCATTAAAATAAGTGTAATTTTAAAATTATATATTTATTTCTTTTTATAAATGATGAAGAACAATCAATAGTATTAAATGATTATAAAAAAATAAAACCAGTTCTTTAGTTTTTTAAAAAATTTGTTCTGCCTATTTATTTTTAAGAATGTTTTTAATCCAGAAATTAATTTTATGTGCTCAACATTCAAGAAAAATTTGATTTGAATACTTAGTTCTTAAAATATTCATGCAACTTTCATATTATTTGCATTGTCAGTAATAATACTAATGAATTTATCAATTTCAATTTCTTGTATCATATTTTCTATTCTACTAATAATATTTTCTACAGTATAATGTTTTTCATTAGTATGAATTGATTTATAAAAAATAGAAGTGGGGGTAGTTATTATATAGTTAATTACAAATAATTTATTAACATTTAACTAACTATTACTAACTAAGCAATGGTAAGGCGATTCATTAAAAACATCTTGAACAGCTACTTGTAGATTAGTACTGGTTGACTTATGAAGATACAAATTTTGATAATCCGAATTTCCGCAGTAAAACTTTGAGTAACCATGTATTAGAATTTATATTTTATGGACATCCGAATTTTGATTGTTCAAAGTTTATACAAATTTGTATAAAACTTCAGATGATCAAAAATTCGGATATCCATGATATATAAATTCTAATACATAGATATCTGAATTTTTGATCATCCGAAGTTTTATACAAATTTGTATAAAACTTCAGATGATCAAAAATTCGGATATCCATAATATATAAATTCTAATACATGGATATCTGAACTTTTGATCATCCAAAGTTTTATCCAATTCGTATAAAACTTCAGATAATCAAAAATTCGAATGTTCATGTATTAGAATTTATTTATTATGGACATCCAAATTTTTGATAATTCAATGTTTTATATGAATTTGTATAAACTTTGGATGATCAAAAATCCAGATGTTCATAATATAATATATAAATTCTAAAATACATAGGCATCCAAAATTACTGTACATAATTACTAAACATTACTAGCACTAATGTTTATTAAAATTAAATAATTAAATAATAAATTTTATAGACTCCTAATATAGAGGTTGATATCTTTATTCTTTATGTCTTTTTTCTATGAACGTTGGTTTAAACACTCATCTTAACTATCATTTTACTTTCTCTTTTTCTAATAATTTCTTTTAATTCTTCTTTTTCAAATATCCTTTATAATTAAAATTTATCCCTAAGTTTCCACATGTATTCTGATATTTTTTAATATCATTAAGCCTTAATTGTAAGTATAAACATACAGTACATCAAAGTAAATCCAACTAATTGCATGACACGATATCAAATTTATACTCTTAATCTTTAGAAATTTTGGAGTTTGCTCAAAAATGCCTGTTTTATTATATTGTGTTATTCGAATTATAATTTTTCTTCAGGTTCTCAAATAATAATATTTTTAATTTATGTTGTAAAGTGTTTTATAGAAAAGTTTTTAATTTTTCTATGAACTTAAAAGTTTTTAATTCCATTATCATAAGATCAGTAATTATGATCACAATTTTAATAAAAGAAATTAAGGTTGCTTTTATGGAAAACATTGTTCAATGTATAATATGCATATAATTAATGTTGAGTAAA